CACTTCTGTTCCTTTAGTGATCACCTGTATGAGTATATTCAGGTCAGGGTTTGATTTCTGACTGCGGCAAGTTTCAATGGATCGTGTTCCAATGCATACACTCCATAAAAAGTCTCCAGGAACTCAGCCTCGTCTTCTGGTTTAGATAAAAAATCTTCCAAGACATTTCTTTTTCCAGGGATGTGTGAGGTCGTGATGTCATACTTCTGCGACAATTTCCCACGTGGGTCTCTCGCTGTCCTCAGAAACCGTATCGGTTTGTGATCAGTCTCAATGTGGAACCATTGGCCGAGTAAATACGGTCTCCATTTGTCTACCACCCATACAATAGCTAGACATTATTTTTCTATCGTAGAGTCCTTCTGTTCTGTGTGTTAAGAAAAGACTGGCGTATTCGACAACTCCTTCACCCTGTCTAAGTACTGCGCCAATGCCGTTGTCACTCGCATTTGTACACAGTGTGAGCTATCTTCCGGGTGCAGGCAGTTTTAGCATCATTTCCTGGTGGTTCAACAGCCGTCTAATACTGTCGAATATAAAACAAGCAATAAAGGTTAATAAAGCAGGATTTAATGAATTCATCAAATTTCGGTAGAACTCGTCAGCTGAATACTCTACATACACGGATATATACTTTTGAAATTACATTGGGAGATATAGGACTGATAAGTAAATAAACTACATTGAATTAGTCATGCAGAAAGACAGGTGCGAATGTTTTTCCAGGTCATGTGCAATTAGATAAGGGGAGAGCGAGTATGGGAGATCAAAAAAAACTGTCGAATATCTTTTGGGAATCTTCCGACCAAACAAACTTCGATTTACCTAATAGCTGCTATCTTGTTGAAGTTTTTCACGAATCGACTAAGATTCTGCTCTCCCCAGAAAACTGACTTAGCTACCTCGTGGAACTCGGCGCCGTAATGGCCCTTATCGATAAAATTTTCTCCGGAAGCGGGTTTTTCTCACCGTTGCATACTTTAGGACCCAACGGCATAACATTGCGTTTGGCTATCTGAGTCCAAACTCTTCAATGCTTTTTAACACGGCTTTGACATGGTTCAAATGGTTGCTTTCATTTTGACTGTAGATAACGAGATCATCACCGTACACTTCTACATTCTTCAAGTTTCTAAGTAACAGCGTCATCAGTCAGCTGAAGGTAAAAGGTGCACACGTTAGTCCGAATGGGATACATTTAAACCGACACTGCTTTTGTCCCACGATGAACACCGTCTTATCTGTCACTTTTATCGGTATCTGCCAATATCCTGACCGAAGGTTGAGCATTGTAAACAACTTCACACTTTGTAGATGTCTACTACAGTTTGCATGGCACACGGTCTGAGCTCTGTCATATTGTTTAGCTGTCGGAAGTCGACGCAGAATCTGTACTTCCCCTTTGCTTTCTTCACTAGAAGAACTGGAGAGTTGTCAGCTTTTTCAATAATATCATCCTATAACATCTCCTCCACTTGTCGCTCAACTTCGTCTTCTAGATGACATGGAATTCTTCGAGCCTTCTGTATCCGTGCTGAGATTTCGTCAGCAGTCAACCTGTTGGGGCTGGCTGATGCAACCCCTCAAATAAGTGAAGTGGTCAGCGTGCTCTACCACTTCAGTCCCTATTTCTAAGCTAGGAGTCAATGTAATCCAGACTAGTCCTGTAGCATCACCTTACATTTGACAGCACGAGCAAATCGTATGCCAAACATTCGCAGACTGCAGCTCAAGGCGTTCAGAAGACTGCTGGATTTTGTCAGCGTTTTCACCTAGGAGGCAGGACTATATCATCTGCATATGCTAAGTTAACGAGATTATTCCCGGATGGTAACAAGTCAATCCCTGAGTCTCTGAAGTGAGTTAGGGTTAAGTTGATTAGTACATCTATGATGAAATTGAATAGAAATGGGGATAGTGGACTTCCATGACGGACACCACTGGTTGTCACCACTTCAGATGACAACTCTACGTAGGCTTTCACCTGGCTGACTACATGAGTTCGAGTAGAGTGAGTGCCTTGATCAGTGCAATGTATTTTCTCGGAATTCCCTTCACAGCCAAACATCGCCAGAGTACCTCTCGGTCAACAGAACTGAATGCTGCCTTTAAGTCAAGAAATGAGGATTGTTGGACGCCGGTAGGAATGCCTATGTTCTAGAATCTGTCGAAGGGTGAAGATATGATCAATACACCCTCTTCCTGGTCTAAAGTCTACCTGGTTCTCTCGTGTTTGTTCCTGTAGTGGACCGCTTAGTGTACGCATGATTATGGAGCCTAGAGCTTTAGATGCCACCATTTTAGTCAAGCTAATTCCCGTGTGATTATCACAGGAAGACTTGTCTCCCTTTTTCTATATCGGGATAATCAATGACCTGCAGCAGCCCTACGGGACTTCCTCTGATTCCCAGAAGCTGCCTAGTAGCTTAGTTAACGTAGACAGTAGACTGTCTTCACCGTACTTGAATACCTCTGGATTCATTCCATCAGGTCCTGCTGCTATGCCTCGTTTCAGACTAGTGACAGCCTTAGTAGCCTCAGTCAGTAACTTGTGTCTATATCCCATTCAGGGAGGTGTTGGATGTTTGGTAAGTTGAGTGTGGCTGTAGGCCAATGAAACTGCTCCTCAAAGTGTTGTTTCCACCGTTCCAGTCGTCTATCCTGGGAGCTAATTATGGTGCTATTTTTCTCAGAGATTGTTTCACTTATCGTTTGTCTTTTACCACCTGTTTCCCTGATAAATCCGAATAGTTGTCTGGTATTACCAATTGCCGATTCCTTTTCCATCTCTTTCGCTTTTGTAGCCCACCATAATTCATGATCGTTGTGAAGACTTCTTGTTAGTTTGAGTTTGAGTAGCTTCCGCTCCTCATCATATTAATTTGTTGAAAAGAGGTTGTTAGCTGAATCACTTGTTTTGATTTCCTATAAACGTTATTATCCTATGTCTCTTCAAACTATTCGCTAGTTAGATTGACTAATCTAGTAATAGTGACAATTTCTAGAACTGATTTTGAGCACTTCGTGTGTATCTTCTAAGTCTGCATGAATTAGTGATTTTGACTTGTTTGTTTTAGCTGAAAATTAACTGTAAGACTTAGGTTATCGAGTTTTTTTTCTCGATCTAAGGTGGTAGACTTTTATCATCTTTAAGAATACAGCAAATTCACAAGAACTGCTCTTATTTATTCTGGCATCAATCTAGAATGGCATACCTACCAAAAGATTTAAGTAATGAAACAGGAATACATTCTTTGAATAATTAGTCTATCAGGGAATACATCAGGAGATATTATGTACCACTAGTTATTGAATGATGAGTAATGTCCACTCCAGTTAATACACGACCAACCTTAGGATTGTGAGATATTCCTTATCTGGATTTTAGAAGGGAAACTCTGAATTCAAGTTAATTATTTTTTAATCCTTTATGTTCCCCGTGGAACATAGAGCTTCATGCTAGAGCTTAAAAGTTTCTGTAGCATTGGTATTTATTTTTACGGGATGGGGTTACTAGCCTCATGCTTAACCTTCCCTCTTTACCAGTCTTATTACTGGTTTAGAGAGGTAAAGGAGTGCGTTGGCCGGGGATCGAATCCCGGACCACATACGTGGTCGGCGAGCATTCTACCTCTGTGCCACAGACGCTGGTATTCATCATCAAATAAAATCAATAGCATGTTAGACGGTTAAATAATATTTCCGATGAATAAAAACACTAAGATTAATTGACAAAATTATACCAGTTTGTTTTGTGCCAGGTGTCAAAGTTTACGGTTATTCTCAAGGGGATTAGATTTTTCCTTCAGTTTGTGTGTGTGTGTGTGTTAATTCTTTATTGTGTCAAACAGATATTCCTTTTTTGCAATCATCGAAATTACATTGCCTTTCCTCACTCCATTCAAATATAACTAACCAAAACAATTTGCTCGGAAAACTTGAACATCATCCTGACTGGAATTTTTCTACTAAAAACTGTTCTCATTGCATTACACTTCAAATACTTTTGTCAGTGAAAATAATATGTCTACTATCACTAAATCGTGCTAGTTTCGCAGGTTGCTAACATGATCACGTGTTAAATTGATTTGTTTGCTGTTTTCTCTTCTTTACTTGTATTGTGATTAGCTTACCTTCGTCATCTGATTTATTATGCATATAGAGTTAAGTAGCAGAAATTTCTCCAAAATATTTGCATTCTGTATTTTTGATTTTAATGTGTAATTATAGTTATTCTAAGGAATGTATAGTTTCATAAAAAGATAAGTTATATCTTTTTATGTACGTGTATAGATACATTCTTCCTACTTGTCTTTATATACTTTATGTTACTATTAGATAAAATGGTATTGATAATTCAACCAAAATCGATGACACTGTTTTGACTGTTGGCATTCTTTTGATTACCAGTACAAAAAATTTAACTGTCGCGTTTTAGTGAGCTGCTGGTTTTCCTCTTGAGACTTGACTAAACTAATTGTTAAGTTACATCCCAGTTTACCCTACGACAGTTTGTAGCCGGAGCTAAGATCAATAGGGACTCAGTTTCAAAAACTCCACATCCATACCTATGTGACTGGTTTCAAGCAGTTGTTTCTTGAGCTCTGTGGTCAGCAAATTTAATGATTCAAAATGGGATCAAGTACTACGGTATAAGCAGCCGGAAAGTAGGAACTTCCCATTCACTTTCATTATTGGCACAGTTTCTTATATATCATCATCCACGTAAAAAAATAAAGTCTCTTTGTTGTATTGGTTTTTGTGGGGGTGGAGATTCGCTTCACTGACGAACAACTATAGTGAATTTGAAGCTTAATCGGATTATTTTCCATCAGACAACTTTTACTAGTTACATTTTCAGTGTATTTTGGAACCTAATAGTTTTACTTTTTCAGCACTTTTTTTCCATCAAATATTACTAGGAATTGATTTTAGTTCGGATTTTTTTTTCTTTTTAATGGTACTAACAACTTATTGTTGAACATATTTTCCTTTTTTAGATGTATCTTCTGTCAAGAAAACTTCCCCTAAAGTGGATGATTTATCATATGACATACCGGCAGATTCACATTCAGGTGATCAAACCGACAAATCAATTGAACCAGAACTATCGAATCTCTCTGGCCGTGTCTTTCTTAGATCCTTATTTCGTTCATTGGAAGTTGGTTCCGGTTCAGATCAAGATGCTTTATTTTCTATTCTCCTTTTAATTGCTATGAGATCTAACGAAGGTAAGGATTATATATAAAGTTAATAAGGTATCATTTATATACAAAAATATGGCCTACGTAGTTTAAATATGGAATATTTAACGGATAACAAATCCAGCAAGTAGTAATGTGAAAGGTCATTGTCCAGTCAATGAATTCTTGCCAACAGACATAAGGTTGAATTTTCGCTCCCTGACAGAGAAATAGTTTTTACACATAATTTATACGTTCAGGTAATTACTACCTTGGCCTTCATTGTTATAATGAGGGTAAGGTGAAATATATGTCACTGTAGACAAGTGAACATATAACATAGACCTGTCAAGTCTCGTTAGTTGTTAGTTCAAACTGTAATAAATAATAAGTTGTCGCTTTAATAATGTGAAGTGTTCTACCATTGTGTATGCACTTTCATTGAATAACTTGCCAATCCTGTCATCCCATACTTAATTATTCTCAATCATTTTTCCTTTTCTTTTTTTGCTCAAAATAAGTCATTGACTATTTTTATTTGTCTTGTGCGCTAATACAAAGTTGAATAAGTAGAACAAAACTAATATTCTAATGTTCACGTTGTTTCAGTCGTTCAGTTTTGTTCTGATCAAAATGAATTCCTGCGTGATTAGAAATTCAATAGTCTTACTGCTTAACATTTACATACAATGCATGTATACTGCATTGCTTTCCTTAGAGGCTTTCAGTACATAATGGTTATTGTTCATATGATGGAAATCGTGATATAGAGTGAATCAGTTAACATGTGAAAGTAATAATCCTATAAGATTTCATTAGTGATATCAGTTCTTTATCTTTCATGAAATGGATGCTGTTTTAAGATCCAAGTTATTTTGTATTGATTTTCGTGTAACGTTCTTCTGTTGTCCCACTTCAAATAAGATTCACATAACCTGTTTAGTTGAGTGTTGTTGATGTGAGCAGATTACATCCTGGTTTATGCTCACTTATGATAAATGGATAGATTGACCAAAGTACCCATTACAGTCCTACAGGAGGTGGGCAATCGCCAGCCCGAATAGCTGTGACTCTAGGCGACCCGGGTTTGAATCTCTTGTAGGACATAAATTCCTTCAAGACTGCAGATACGCCTTACTGATAAGCGCCAATGAAGCCCGAAACGTAGGTTTAAGGCTTCCTACCGCTTTCACCTAACCAGCTAACTACAGATAGATTGATTACAAGCATCACATTTTGAGTTTCTGGTTTGCCTTCAGTTAAACTATCCGAGTTCCTTCGTTCTGTTATTGATAGGGTTAAGGGAATTTCTTTCGTGTTTTTTAAAATTTGTAGTTAAATACTGTATTATAATATCTGTCTTAAAATGTTCGAGTAGCAGAAGAACAAAAGTGTAATGAATACATTAAAAATTTGCTTACCATTGGTTAACCTAAGATAGTCCTTACCTACTTCTCCAAATGTTTTCCAATCAGAATGAACAATATGTGTATCGTAAATGTACATATAGAAATTGAAGGAACCTGGGTTAAGTGTATTAAGTAGTGATTTATTTTTCACGTCAAGCTAGTATCTTTTCGGTATATTCTACCTAGGTGACAGAATCGGATTATAGACAGCGGGTGTAGGTTTAGTACTTAAGAAAAATATAGTACATTTCAGTTGCGCACTGCCAAGCCATTTTGTGCATTATGCAATGTGAACCTTAATTTTTTTCCAGGGTTACTTTCTCCGGCCTAAATGAAATGAATTCTAAACTCTAGACCTTTTATTTGGAAGTCTAAATCTCAGTATGTTGGAGCACACATCCTCTTAGGACCATTAGGCTATGGTATATTTTCTGTTGGCTAATAAAGCATGTACTTGCTACACTTAGAAAAACAACGGCTTTAAAACAAATAAAGAGCATTATTTTATTGCTCTCAGTAAAGTAAACAATGCAATTTTTTGGTGGATGTTAACTAGCAAGTGGAATCCAGGATGCACATTCCGTCCTATTTGGGAGTCATAAGCTGGTTGTACCTGCAGTGGTGGTGTTCCCCACTGAGATTCAAGCCCAGCACCCATCGTGTCAAACGCCAACTGAAGAGTCCCAAATAGGATTGAATGCACATCCAGGATGCTACTGTTGACCACTACTCACTAAAATAACATGTTAATCCTCTGACATCGTACTAGGAGCTGATATGTAAACAAAGACCGAACATTTCAGCCCAACATAATCAAAGGGAATTGCGAAAAATAAATTTGAAAAGACGAACAAATGCAACATCTTGTATTGCAAACAATAATGGACCAGACCGCGAATGGAAACGTCAAAATCCTAATGAGTGACATGAATGACAGACCAACTGACAGCAAACAACACAGGAAACGAACAATTCATGTGTCGAGAGGATCTCGGTGAAATAAATACGAAGAGTGAACTCTTCGAAGATTTCTTTGCCATCAACGACTTGGTGATTGCAGGTAATGGGTATAAACACAAGGATGTACACAAACCGACATGGATTTCGCCAAATGGATACATCAAAAATCAAAAACATTTCAACTAATTCTCAAGAAAGCGGAGACGCAGTCTAGCTACACACAGAGTCGAGAAGAGGAGAAGATGTGGGTTCAGACTATTATCTAGTGCAAAGAACATTCAAGGTTAAGGTGAAAGCCTTTAAAAAGGATGAAGATAGACCACAATCCAAGTTCAACACTCAAAAAGTGAAGGGAAAACTACAAACAACGTCACTGCATTTCTCAAAGCAAAATTGGAGACATTATTTACCATTACAGACGAAACTTGTATGGAAGGACTGTGGAACACCCTGAAGGTGATGCTCGTGGAAACGTTTACAGACGTTTTATGAAGAAAGAAGAGGCAAGATAAAGAATCGCCCCCAACAGACACCTGGGAGCTAATAGAGGAGATGGGCAGCAGATGGAGAAGCTGAGTTCAATGTACACTGCACTGAATAAAGAAGTGAACAAGAGTGCTAGGAAAGACAAAAGACAATTCTACGACAAACACTGAATCAGAACAGACAGGCCTCAACTAAAAGAGACCTCAGGACATTATATCAGATAACCAGGCTGCTCGTTATCTGGGAAGAGATCACTTCAAAAGATACCTTGGAGGATAATATTTTTTTCTTTGCGATCCAATATGAAATAGATGTCTTCTTTTTCTAAAGAAATTCTCATTCCTTTTGTATTTCAATTGCAAAACTGGTTACCTGATACATTTATTTAAAATCTTGCCTGGTGATACGTGTTTGCGCATAACTTGTAAACGTTATGCAAACATAAGGATGAAATTGAAAAAAATAGAACCGCAGTATTTTTTAAAATAGAACTTTTCTGTCTGACTGTTAAACGCTTTTCTGTTGATTGAATGTGTGCGTTTGTGTTTGTGCATACATGTAATTAGGTGATACAAAATGTCATATGATGCAATTCCATTCACTTGTTTCTAAGGCTTTCACCTTTTGTCGATACTGATAACTAGAATTGGTGAATGGTCCTGTCTGTAATAATTTTTCCAGTGAATCTGAGTATGGTGTTTTTTGTAAAATTAACTGTGACGTAGTTAAGTAGGTACAGGTTATCCCTGTGCTTAAATTTGATTCTAAAATCATACATGTGCATACATAGTTGTCGTATTTTTTCTTAATACATAAAGAAATATTGACTAAATCAGTTGGGTAGTCATCTTTATGCATGAAATGTGCACTGTTCTATGTATTGTGTGTGTGTGTGAGGGTGTCGAATAAGATTGTAAAGTGACAATCTCAATGAAGAACGAACCTTCAACATTTGATAACGATTGCGGCTTAATAAGTAAAAACTGTAAGTTATGGTTCTGCGCATAGGGAATGATCATCTGGCTTTTTGTTAACTGTATTACTATAACCTTTTTTGTGAGCAGACAAATCGAGTATAGTGTCGATTGATTCGACGAATATGAATGGAAAAGCTAGTTTCTTACGCAAGAAGAGATTTTTCAATTTTTTAGTCTATGTTCTCAGTAATTCTAGGGCAAGCTTCTTTTCTCTATTGAAAAGTGAGTGCTATTATGTGCATTGAACAGTTTATGAATAATGTTTTAAAAAGTGATCGTACTGTAAGTGGTTGCCGTAAAATCTTCCCCAGCATCATGTATTGTATTGAATTTACACCTAGTTGTTTTCGCTGAAGATGTTTCCATGTCGTAGTAATTTTCCACTTTTCTTGTTCGTGATCTTTATCTATCTTTCGTGTAAATATATTTCAGATTCTGTAACTTGATTTCACGACTTCATTTGAACGTTTCACACTCGTTTCATCAAACGGAAAAAATCTTCACATTGAGGATAAAGTTTACTGAATTAGTCACTATCATTCCTTTTTTATCTTCATAACTTTAGTCATTACAGCGTTTAAAGTACAGAAATCGTGAGTGTGAGTGCTGTACTTTTTTTTAAAGAACAATTAATGGTTATACTGTTGTTATACTTTGGTATTCATCTAGAAAAAGACTGTTAATAAATCAGTAGAGAAACGATTACTTTTCGTTTGGTGTTTACTGTTGTTCCTTATTATTCTCACTAGTTTATACTTGTGAATCAATTAAGATTGTTATTTATTTTTGACGAACTACTTGCTTTTCTTTTTTTTGTCAGTGTATACACATTTATAATATGATTATATATGATTGTTTGCCCCTCCCCTCCCCTCCGACATCCAGGTATTGATGTACCCACTTTGGAACTTGCTCAGTTGAATGGTCCTGATGTTGTAAGTTTATGTATTATTATTAATATTATTAGGTATGCATAATTAGACTAATTAATTATTTTTAACGAGAATGGAAGCAAATTAGAAGTTTTGCGTTAGTTGTTCACAATTCTTTTAGATTTTCAAGTGTTGGTTTGTAAGGATTTGATTGGTTACAGGATTTTCATCATGAGATGACATTGGTTAGAGAGCCATTGGAAAACCCGGGAGTACTGGGCAGCTGTTTCATCATAGTTTGGGACTCTTCAGGGGGACGCACCCACCGGGATTCGAGCCCAGAACCTTCTGGTTACAAGGCGAGCTCGTATACCATTAAGCCACTGGGACCCGATCCAGTGGCCCATGAATTCTAACCTCTGCCAATTCACGACATAGCGCGACCCCTAGCCAATGTCTTCGGCGAGTATTTGTCCTCACACCCGACCTGCTGCACTCCAATGGTTCTCTAACTAATGTCAGCTCATGATGAAAATCTTTTAGATTTATTTTATGCTGTTTATGATACATTCAACGAAATGAATAGTAGTCAGTTGATGTGTGACAATGTTTGCCCGTGTTTCCCATGCCTCATTCATTACTCTAAGCAACACTAGTTAGTTTGTATTTTTATTCTGACTGTCGGATTAAGTCTCTCAATTTTAAGATGCAGCACACTGTTTATATTTTCATTTTTTCGTTTAGGAACCAGTCGTATTCTGAATTAAGTAGAATGGACATGTGCTGCTGAAGCCTACCTGAAATGCGAAGAATTTGTCCTAATATTAATAGTACAATAATAATAACAGTAATAACAATAATCGTCTATCACGAACGGTTTCCTTGCTAGTGTGTGTCCAGATGCAGGTGTCTGCCAGTCTTGTAACAATTCGTTTAAGTTAGACGAAGCAAAGTACGTACCATATAGATACTGATCTCCATCTGATTAAGTGCGATTTGGGTGGTTTGTGTGTGTGTCTTTCTCCGAACAACAAATCTACACTACTACCATACACAATCTTCAATATGATATGCAGAAGGTTATCGACGGCAAAGTCAAAGAGATATGATGATGTTAGGCAATTCCGTACAAACCTACTGCTGTCGCGGATTAATGCTGATAACAAGTTGCATGCGTTTACTCTAACTCAGGTGTTTTCGTATAGAACTTTCAGGATGTTTACGAACTTCTAAGTAACACCTCTCTTGAACAGATAATTCAAAAGAGTAGTCCTGTTCAGCGAACTGAAAGCAACCTTAATATGAAGAAATATAAGTATTGTTGGCTTGAGAAAGTGTTCTGGTGACTGAGAACGAAGTAACACTTGACCAGTGCACCCATGACTTAATCAATACCCAACCTTCTCTTCCCGAATAAGTTTCGTGCACGTTTTAAAAAGCTTGTGTGGCAAGATAGCCAGTATATTAAAAGCAACTGGTAACAGACTAGTGTCTCAATGGTTGTCTCTTGCATTACCTAGGCCTTTTTGATGATAAACACAACGACGGTGTCATTCCGAATTGCTGGGACACACCTATATTAGTCTGACTTATTCCAATCTAGACCTGACTGTCAGTGGAAGGACACCAGGTACCTTACGGCGATGGCTGTAACTGGAGTTGGTGTTGGTCGGAAATTGGTTGTGATCTTCGCAACGTTCAGAAGACGGTCTCCATTACCTGACATGCAACTATGCAGTCCACATCAACAACTCTTCTTTCAGCCTTGATGTTTGCAGTTAAGTGTCTAAGTACGGTCACGGTATCTGTCGAATGAACTTGTTTGAGAAAACCATTCATGTAGTGGTAGAACTGATCATTAGTTGCACCCAGGCTGCAATTTGGTGGTGCGTGGGCAAAAACAACGAAAAGATAAAGTTTCTCTTTTCGAGTGGTTCTCACCGTAACCTGATAGTACATAAACGACTATTAATGGGGACCCAGTCGAATTATTGAGATTTTGGTTGTAGAGTTTATTGAGATACAGACACTAGAAATGGCTGACACCGATGTCAAAGGGTCCTCTAATAAGCGCACATGAAACACTTGCTGAGTGCAGATGGAAAAATCATTTTACTGGAATCTTGTATACGGGTCTATGTGGTGCTTCGTAGGGTTCTGGTTAGATAATGTGTGTTGCAGATTCGCGTTAGTGTGTGGTAAACCTAAAAGCAACACTCTGTTACAATATACTTGTTCGATATCGTAATGGAGGTCAACTTTCTGAAGGTGACAATCTAGTGACTTTAGGCTGTGGGGATAAATTGAGATTTCAAGCAGTAACGAATGGCTGACAAAATTGAAGATAATAAAAGCATGTAAAAATAACAAAAATAAAGTAAAATAGGTTATACATGGCAATAAAAATGTAATATCGATGGATCAGATGACCGATTATAATATTGGTGATGTGATTTATGAGAGTGAACAGATCAATCGAGTTTTCTGTTGATTTGTCGTTTCATATTTTGTGTTGATGGCTAATATTGCTCCCTGCTGCCCGAACCGAAGCAGGTGGTTGTTCTAAGTTTTCACTGCTAGGGTCTATGACTTGAAGTTTGATCCATAGGGCAGCAGAAACAGGAGTTGCGTTCGTATGGTTGTCGATGACTAAAACACTTTCTTATGCTATTCGTTTTTTTGTAATTCTTAAGCCCATATTCACTATAGGGTTCGAAATCAGGATTTTCAAACCTCCTGAGATGGACCCTCTTTCTGGTTTCTTGGTTTGGTTCCGTATTAGTAAACTTGTCGTCGGTTACCGACCACCGTGTGTTAAGTCAGGATGTATAATTTTTGGGGTCGACCTTTACTAACCCCCTCTCTCCGGACTGAAGAGACAGCATAGCTAGCTGGCATGCTGGCCACCTAAGGGGAACACCTCTCTGCTTTTGCATCCCTGCTCCCAAAAAGTACAACTTCGCCCACAGACCTCCAGCATAGTGTAAAAATTCCTACACTAAGCCGGTAACTGCTTTCAGTCTAATCGCTATCCTAACAACCTTCCTGGCATGGTAGGACCTGCAGGAACAATAGTTCCAGCTAGTGTAGCTTGTCGGATCATTGCGATGTGCAATCCCGACCACCACGTCAAGGTAGCAGCTTTCGGTTGGGCAGATGGACCCTCCATGTCCGTCAGTCTAGTGATGGGCACCGAACGTTCGCATTCACACTTTCACTTTTGCAGGAATCCCTCGTCCTGTCGTTTGAAGACTGTGAACATGTTTCTACATGAGATCATTTCTAGGAGCAGACGGTAGACTACTCACCCGCAGCCTTCATCGGGTCATTTATGTGAGGACATCAAAGCACAAGGTAGCAAGGAACATCTACATGAAAAACTTTCTGAAAAAAGTGTATCTATTTAAGAAAAAATAAATCACACACTGAGGCTTTAGTTTCTCCCCGTATTGCGATAATTTTAAGTATGTTGGGGTGTTTATGAATCAGAGTGAATTGTTTAGTTAGGTTGCGGAATTGCGATTCCTATGTTTCATCAGTTGGGTTAAAAATTTCATCCATCACATCACATCTTGTCTTAGTCTTTATTTCAATTTTTAATTACCTGGTCAGATTTTCATCTAATTTTCTAACAAAACTAACAACTGTGGAATCAATCCATGGAGCTACCGTTCACTTACATGAGAATTAATCATATATATATATATATATATATATACATATATTGTAAACGCGAATGGTACATACCCTATTTTGTCTTTTTAAAATACATTTTCGAGAACCAGTTCATATGCCATTTTACTTCAAGCATTTGTTTAAAACATCCAAGATAACTGATGTATATTCTGTTTCATCTTTCTCTCTTTTTTTTCTTAATCACTGTGTCATTATTGTGTTAGAAACCGTCATATAACCATACACTTGTTACAAAGCTAATCGAGTTGATTGGAGATGCATGCAAAACTGGTAAGCATTTGAATTCTCCATTTTCATTTATTGTGTATCTCGTTGGATAATATTCACTTTGTAATTTTTGGGATGGCGTAACTACCTCTCATGGTTTCTTCGACTGTATGCTTGTGGTTAACACAAAGAATATCTGTCTTTACTGCATTAATTAGCAGTTAGTAAAAGATTTTCTGCAGTCTAAATGTCTTTTAAATGTTGTACGCTTATGTATGTATTTCTGCCACAAAGATTTATCGGAATTCTGCATAACAGCGAAGTCGTAAAAAACACAACGTGATTATAATAACAATGATAATTATACGGAATGGAATTTTCAGTGTTTATATATTTATAACAACAATTTTGTACCTACATAAAATTTAAAATGGTAATAATAATTTCATCAATAATGAGACTTATATAAATAGAATGTTGCTGGAAATATAAAGAAGAATAGGTAGATAATAATAATAATCTTTGCTTATACTCTACAGTCCAGTTACTGATCTAAGAAGTTTATCAGTTCTTTTCTGACATCTGACTATCTCTTCACACAAAACCCGTACTAAATATAGTATGGTAGAACTTTTATATTTAGTTATACGAACGTAAATTCTTATGAAGTTTTTTCCGGCTTTACCCGAAGATATACAAGGGGAAAGTTGAGAATAAAAAGAATTTTCAGTATCTGACATGAAGACATTAGACCAAATGCTTGTAAGAATTGAAGTGCCTATTGACAATACTGTCAGTTAACTGAGTCAAAGCCACACCACTAACCCTACTTCCAGTCTTTAGTGTTCTACATAATATGACATAGTCTTTTTTTGAGAAGTCCAGGGAATAATAAGTGGAGAGAACAATAAAGGAGAATGGGCAGAATGCATGAGGTAATAAATTGTAAGAGAAGATTTTGAGTTATGTCAAAAAGTCTCAACTTCTTTATGTAATAAGTCAAAAGAAACATTTCCTTAGAAATCAACATGATATGAGACGAACAACAGAGATTTGAAGAGAAACTGATGCCGAGATGAGAGATATTTGATTTATTCCCAATCACAGTGCCGTCAGTATTACAGGAATCGTGGGACTGTATTAATCCATTCAGGTCTTGTTCGCATCTGAAACTAAAATCAACAATATGAAATTTAGATGGGTTCAGTTTCAGACCATTTAGGTGAGACCAAGAATCTATTTATATAGGAACAATCCAAAACAGAAACTAATGGGACAGAAATGGTTAGATCACTGGCATATTTAATGAAGTAAGCTTTAGTAGAATATGGAAGGTCATGGAAAGAGAAAGAAAACAGGAATGGAGAAAGCACAGCACCTTGAAGTACACCAGTTTTCTTTAGCAACGAAGTGTAGCACTTTGCACTAAAAACGGTATATTGTATATTTCTACCTGAAAAATAACAAGACACCTTGTGACCCATGACTCAATTTCTGCTGAAATCAGCTTGATTAATAAAGGTACCCTAGGAATAGAATCAAAAGCAGCATTTTAGTCTAAAAAGGAGGCTGGAAGAAAACTTTTCACTTTTATCAAGACTTGAAACAATATTGCAGCGGAGAACAACGACAGCATCTAATGTGTTTCTACTTCATTTGTAAGCAAACTGCTTTTAGTCGTTAAAAGATTTCAAACAATGTTTAAGCACATGCAAATAAGTTTCTCCACAGTTTTCAAAAATGAAGACGTGATGGTGATTGGCCTAAACTTTAGAGCTGATCCGGAAGATGACTTCGGTCCAGACACCACCTTTGCTTCCTTTCCAGGCAACAGGTACTGTATCTCTGTGAAATGATGCATTAAAGATTTGAGTAAGAGGATGATACAAAATACCAGCACACTTTTGAAGCAACATGTGTGGTACACCATCGGGAGTATTTACTTAAGTGCTTTGGATGACACCTAACCGTGATTCAGTTTATATTGGCATTGGAAAACTTAAAACATAAATGATTAGATGTAGACCACTTTGTATTAATAAAAGTGGCTACCCCTCCACAATGCTTTTTATTTGAACTGTGTCTATCCTGACGGAAATTTCCCTATCCATTTAATGAAATCGGATTGCCGTCATATTTCTGGTGGAGCCAAGTCTCTTGTACAGCTAAAACACCAGCATTTCGATACACATTTAAGGATGTTAGAGATTGGAGATAGTCTGCTTTGTTAGGCAGAGACTTACAGTTAGTACTAACAACTTTAGGGACAGTCATATGATTAATTTCTGTACGTTTTAATGCACACTGCTGACCACTATGAAGTTTTTTCCTCAATTTTTGAGGATGACTCAACGCGATGGGTTGGCAAGATTTTGAAAATACGCGATTATAAATAATACCATTTGAAGACATTTCTGATTGATTGCAACAAAAATATAGAAAAAAATCAAGGCAAAATGTAAGTAGATGGAAAATGGTATTTTTTGGTAGCCCAAAATTCAAACAGGCCAATGATATTATGTATTAATAATGCTTGAAAAGTCATTGAAAGTATTAGAGAAACATTGATTTTTACAAATAATCTGAAGCTGTATGCTCTGAGCGTCATGTTCAGTCGCTTATTTTATGTTGTTGTAATTGCCTACAATCAGTTTGTCTATAGCGATTGATACTTAACTAATCGAACGAAGTGGATTGACTGACTGACTGGTTTCAATATGGAACTTTGCATTGATGTGCAGCAGTTCGAGGCGTCACACTCCATGTAACACACAAAGCAAGGGAAGAAGGTAGAAAGAAATGCAAAATAGAGACGGTAGACAGGGATATAAAACAAAAAGAATAGTAATATCGAAGAACAATATGGTTTTATTCGGTGTTATAAGTCACAAGGAGTGGGATGCATCTGCGCTATGCATTGAGAACGATTTTGAGCCATATCATCGATTGTCTCCAGTCTTCATTGGTTTTTACCGTCCCGAGGACCCCAACCCGGAAGTCTACATCTTCCTACGTGACTGGCTTAAACTAACTGTTGTGGAATTCATTGACTGATACCATGTTTTGCTTTGACCACCACTGGCTCTTTTGCAACCTGATCAATCCTATGTCAGCTAGCTTACATTGCCCGTCGGTCGAAGAAGGCGATGGATAGATGGCTAGGCATGTGTAACCTAACCATCTCAATCGATGGAACTTCACAGCCTCGCCTATTGATTTCCCCCCTCCTTACTTAGCACTCGACCGATGCCTAACTTTAATATTGCTCACCCTGCTATACCATTTCTCGCGGGAGATAGGATGCAGAAACCTATGCTCAAAGACCGCTAACCAGACTTTTCACGTCTCCCACTTTCAGTGGCTATGTCTCGCTCACAGACATCAAGGAGGACGGAGTGGACTGCTGAGCAGTACTCCCGCCCTTTGGTCGACAGACAGCCGGCATATGCGAAACGAGCCTTCTGCATCCGTGCTGAGATTTCGTCAGTGATCAACCTGTTGGGTTTGATTGCAGAAGCTAATTGCCGAAGAAGACAGAACTGTGAAGGAATTCTTTGTCTGTTAATTGTGTAAAAATTCCCGTAGTAACTGAAACGCAAATTATTGAAGAAAGAATATTCCTTTCGACAGTACAATTTCACAGCATACATTCTATCATATGCAAATTTTCTTTGAATCAAATCCAAGAGAATATGAATTGAAACATTGTTAAACCTTAAATCAATTGTTTGACTTAATGATACTACAGAAAACCGTTATGTAATCGTCTATATACAGACTTATCTAGTATGAATTTATAGCTGTAAAGCTTGACGAGAAAATTATGCTAAAGAATATTCTTTATTAACTAATATGTGCTTTATCTGTTGTTTTACAGTACATGACAAACGCTTTCTTACTTGTTCAGTTTAAGTCCATTTAAAGTTACCAGAGATCAACAGTAATTAGTCACACAAACGAAACGTTTGCATACAACTCAAGTTAGAGTCATTTAGTCACAGACTTTATTCACCCTGCTTGATTTAGCTGTGCATACTCACGGTTTAAACCTTCAGATGGTGAATTGTTTCAAAAACAATTTCGGAAATTTTGAATTCATTTCATCTCTTCCTATATCTTGAACAGTATTTGGTATTTGCTGTTTCTTACGTATTTTCCACTTGTTTTTTTTTCTCCGTCTTATTTTCACTCATCGCTTCATGAGTGAGTAGCTGTCTCGTTGTGTTGTGTTTGATCCCCACTCGATATCTACATTTAAATTCTTTTTTATTTTTGAGTTTAACCTTTTTTTACATCAATTGACATTATTCTGACCTGTTGCATTGACGTTTCCCATGAATAATTATTCACTGGGGTGAAAATATATATATATATATAAGGCTGTTTCTGTTATTTCTATTTATAAGCTGGTTGTTTTAGATAATTAAAAAACTCAGTGTTCTTTGTTGCCAAGGTGTTTCACCGATACTATTGTAGTAAGTAGGACATTCAGGGCTTCATTGCATTTGTGAAGAATGATTCAACTAATCCACATCTACACGACAGCTTTCCACCGTCCAACTTTAAACGGGATGTGAACATCAGTCCCTCAATTCTGGTTGAAATTATAGCGGCTGTCTTAGATTTTTTTAAACCAAGACAAATCCTCAAGTATCAACTAAACATATTTATTGGTTATTGCCGACACTTTAAGAAAGATTTCTGTATTGTCTTTATGAGACGCAAGCTCCTGCGCTTGATCTTGTGAATGAAATTCGTTGTCTCCGCTTAAAATTTGATGATATATACGCATTAATTTGTGCTTTAGCCTGCTCGCTCCTCAATTATCTGAATCTTAAATTTCATGTCAAATAGGTGCAAAAATTTTGACTTCATATTTCGATTTTGCACCTATGCCATTGAGATGCAGACAGTCGAAAAAAAAAATCATTTTTCAAAATCCTTAAATTTCAACTCCTTTTGCTTTACTTGAAACCTGCTGAGCTTAATGTTCTTTTCAAAATCATTTTAGATACATAAAAAAAGAATTTATTGTGTCATTTCTTAGTCTGCATACGTTAGTCACTAGTTGCATTTTACCTCAGTATTCTACTGATTTGCTTAATAATAGTGTAACAGCAGAAGGCCAAGACACAGAAGCCAAGGTATATTTTCAAGTGGTCAAACAGATATTTATATCTATACTGTTTATATTCTCTAACCTGTCATTGAGCGTGTGATTTTGGTTTACATTAAACGACATGAAATAGAATGTTCCCAATACATATATGGTTGTCTGTTGCTAATGCCGTATTAAACTGTGGGAACGGTATTCTAACTCTAACACCAAATAGAATGTTGGAATAGATACATCCTTTTCCCTTTTTAATGCAGTATTGAACTGTGGGAACAGTATTCTGACTCTAACAACAAACAGAATGTTCGAATATATTGTATAGTATTCTGTTGCTCATGCAGTATTGAACTGTGAGAATATGTGAGAATAATATTCCGTTGGAAAAAAAATGGTTGGAAATGGTCGCGCTATGTCGTGAATTGGCAGAAGTTAGAATTCAAGGACCATTGGATCGGGTCCCAGTGGCTCAATGGTCTACGAGCTCGCCTTGTAACCAGAAGGTCCTGGGTTCGAATCCCGGTGGGTGCGTACTGCTGATGAGTCCCAAACTAGGACGAAACAGCTGTCCAGTACTCCCAGGTTTTCCAGTGGTTCTCTAACTGATGTCAGCTCATGATGAAACCCTCCATGCAATCAAACCAAATCCCTACAAAACCAATACTTGCAAATTAATCTGATGCTCACTAGTGACTGGCCCTATTCAGGCAGTTAGCCTGGGGTTCTAGTGGGAAGCCGTGACCAGTAGGGTACAGCAGGTCGAAGATGAGGACAGTTACTCATCGAAGAAGACATTGCGAAATGGTCGCGCTATGTCGTGAATTGGCAGAAGTTAGAATTCAAGGACCATTGGATCGGGTCCCAGTGGCTCAATGGTCTACGAGCTCGCCTTGTAACCAGAAGGTCCTGGGTTCGAATCCCGGTGGGTGCGTACTGCTGATGAGTCCCAAACTAGGACGAAACAGCTGTCCAGTACTCCCAGGTTTTCCAGTGGTTCTCTAACTGATGTCAGCTCATGATGAAACCCTCCATGCAATCAAACCAAATCCCTACAAAACCAATACTTGGAAAAAAAATTGTCTGTATCACACGACCGCAAGAGAACCTGATTTCTGTGTTCTTTCATTGTAATGTACTTGTGTCATCTTAGGTTTATTTCTGTATATCTGTAGTCATCATGTTTAAGATTTAATTACAATCTCATTTTTTTGTTTCTTTTTCAACAAAAACATCAAATACAGAAAGTCAAATCCGTTTAATCACTGTACATATGGCTATTCGTTTGTTAACGGATTTAGTGTATAGTCCCATATTGGGTTGTCGGTTATCTGATCAACATTTTGCTGAATTGATTAACGCTCGTGAAGAAGCTATGCTTGCATTGAGAAGTTATTTTGAGGTATTTTACTTTGTTGCATACTAAAATGTTCGCTTTTTGATTGGTAAAAATGTTAAAATATTAATATTAACATGACACGTTCGAGGCTAAATTCTTAATGCTTTTATGGTGGCTGTCTCTATCTGTTCAGTGTGTCAGTTACGCATTTGTGTTTAGCGTCTTTATTAGAAAATATCTCAGGAATTATAGTGTTACAGACTTTCTATTATATATTTTTTAATTTTCATGTTCATTTTTTCACATAGTTGTATTTCAAAGGTGTCTTTCTTAACTATTTGTCATTGGGTCTCAGTAAAGTTCACCTCGCTTACTTCAAGCTAACAATTGGAGGGTAAATGAACTCTTGTGTATTGGAGATGATTGGAAGTGTTGACAGTGTTAACGTTCACTGACAAACCCTTATTAATTAAGAAGTGAAGAGGGGGGGGGGACGACGAAAGATGTTGAAATATTAGTGAGATTTGTGTTGATGCCTTCTGGTACATTTACTGTGGCGTTCTATCTATAAAGTTTTTGTATATTTTAGTAAATGAAACCAGTGGAATTAATAGGATCTTTGTTCATTTAGTTATCTCATTTTAATTAGAAGGAGGAAAGTAAAATGCCAGACTGTGTAAATAAACATTTTCGACTGCATCAGTTTTGATTTTAGTTTATGTATATAATTCGAAGATGCTATTCTAAGTCATTTATTTGTAATACACAGTTTAACAAAAAAGTAAATTCTTAGTTTCAGTAAAGGCGCACCTAATTTTCCTCTAAATCCCCTGAATTGTTATGTCTTATTACCAGAAGTTGGGCTGTCGAAGGTTCATGAGTGGATAAGGTGTGTTATTCTGGCTGTTTTATAGAGACTATGGCTGATTGGTCTAAGCACTCGCCTTCCCTCCGGCCGACTTCCTAGTGTATAGGTAGCTAGCTTGTATCATTGGCAGAACAAGTGTAGCTCACTACCAAATGGATAGTAATGTAAACGGTAGTTGGATAAGCCTCTTCATCTAGCTGTTTACAATATTGATCACTTTAGTCTGAATACATAAAGTGTGCAGCTTTGACACTACCATAAGAACATTACTCGCAGTGACATGTATACTTAGTAGGATCTTATAAGTTAAATACCGTAAATATTTGAGTTTATCCTTTTACTTAATTTTTCCTAACACAAGTAAAGCGAAAATATTGAAAAGGGTTCCAATTGTTTCGCTTTCGAAAGGGAATTTTCTTCAACCGGACTGGAATTGTGACCAAACTATGAATCTGCCCAATTATCAAATTACTAACTCGGAATAATAGAATTTATTCACTGGTCTTGGTCAGCTGTAAGATAGAAAAAGGGACAAGAAGTCATTAAGTTAAAAAGGTGAAGTTGAGGCGGATTTAAGTGAGCAAACAATGAGGATTACTTAGTAGACACGTTAGTAACTTGCAAAGTTTGATATGGACAGCAAAGACAGGTGAAGTATTGATATTTGATGGTTGGAGACAATCGGAAGGGGGCTTCGTACCTAGGTTTCGTGCTAGTTGGCACTCACCAATCATCAAGGCGTATCTGCGACCTTGAAGGAACTCACTTTCCTTCTGAGGTTCGAAACTACGTCGCCCAGTGCTGCAGTCAGAGACGTTCCCACTGAGCTCTTAGGGCTCTCGATTCACCTCCTGTAGGTATTTTTTACTGAACATTAGTGAGTAACTAGTGTAATGTCTCTAGTCCTTATCTTTGGTGCCGACTGAATTATACCTGTCAAGTTGGCAATGTGACCAGCATTCTAGGTGGCTGGTGAGCCCTAATAACTCAGTGGTAACGTCTCTGACTGCAGCATTGGGTGACGGGGGTTCGTTTATCAGAAGGGACATGAGTTCCTTCAAGGTCGTAGATACGCCTTGCTGATTGGCGAGTGCCAACTAGCACGAAACCTAGATCCAAAGCTCCCTTCCGATAGTCTCCAACTATCCCACCTAGTGGCATGCTGGCCACATTGCAAACTTCACTGATAGAATTCAGTCTGCACCAAACAAAGAACACACTACACTGACTAGTGTCCAATCAAAGTATGGGTGAAGTATATTCATTATTTTGTGTAACAGATTTTCCGTAAAACTGAGTATTTGATGTAATTTTTAGTGGGGACAATTAGTTCATATTTGTAGATACTCTGTGTAGTAATTTTCGTTGCTAAATATCTGATTGATGAAAGAGATCATGCCTTTTCAAACTTTTCAGTTCCCAGTGGATTGTTTCATATCCAATAAATAATATTTATAATGTTGATTCATGCAAACATAATATGTTGACAGAAGTAACTTTATACGGATTTTCTTTTTTAAATATTCCAATGTATAGATAAACGCAATTTTCTTGGATATATTTGAAAATGAATTGCGGCGTGTTCAATCACCACTCCCTGCATTGTCTACATTAGCCACAGATGCTCGTCTGTTAACACCACCATATTCACCGTTCATGTCGAAATCAGATGAGACATCTGAAACTACTAGTACTGATAGCAGTTCTGGTACATATGGTAACAGTAATTTTAGTAAGACACAAATGTTGACATGTAATGATATGGATCTTGTTTATCGGTTGCCGCAAAATGAACGTGAACATATCCAACGTGCAATTTCAATTTATCTTATTGTACATATATGGTTAGAAAAAATGAATTATGTATTTAAAATGAATGAAATAGCCTGTAAAGATGTTGATGATGTTGGTGTTGGTGTTTCCATTCAACCAGATAATAGTAATTTTTATAATAGCTATAAAATATCTTCAAATGATTTATTTTCTAATCTAACTGGTATACCTGGATTAGGCGGGTTTTGTAATATCCCTGATTTGAAATCCAATGTACCTGTATTAAAGACAGGAGATAAACTGGATCTTTGTAAGTTTATTACGATACACTTTGTACCTTTATTTAAACATTTGTTTATTTTTTATGCTGTGAAATACAAACATTTAATGCCTTACAAGATTGTTGGATGTATCATTTTGATAATCGAGTATTTCAGTCTGCGTTTCTATGATGGTTAAGAATGTTAAGGTAACTGGATATGAAAGGGAACCTCAACAATATAAACGCTATTGTTGTTTATACATTTCCTATTGGTTTCAAGGAAGATTTTTTCCTTGTGATAATATAATATCAGCAAAAGATTAAGTATCTTAGATTAGGCACGATAGACAAATAAAGGTGAAACACAAGGAATTCAATCGAGTCAAACAAACAGTTACCTAGGTAACGGTATATTGATCAATCTTCCTCCTCTTTAAAGTGTTTCATAGCTGTAAATGCAAGCTTGTGCTCATCGAATGGGCACTCACCTTGGATATTGTCATTTTGAAGGCTAGATATATCTTCATTTTATCCTTAATGGATTAAACTTGTATGCTTATTGGACAGAATCATTCCTTCTGATAATTCTACTTCAGGGAGTACATACAGAATAAAAAATATCGAGAAGGCCGTTGCTACATGAGTGCTTGTTCTATTCTAATGATTTCAAATAGTCAAAATAGTGTCGTATAGAGAAATTCACTTCACCAATTCACCTCATCATCAGATATTTTGGTTCATTACTGTTGAACAGGCATCTCTTAAAATGATGTAGGTCGTTGTTCTTTTTTTTAACGTGGCCGTGTATCTCTATCTTTGTTGAAGGATTTTCATACACTGATATAATTTAAAAACTGTGAAAGCTGCATGCATGTGCCTCTCAATTTTCAAGGAATTTCACCTTTCAAATAAAATGAATCGAGGAAAATCATGGTTGTCCTAATGTATGTATTCTATCATGAGTCCTATTTTCCCACAATGTATGTTTCAAAGTATGAAACATTTTTGAAATATGTCGTTTGTGTAAAATACACCGTCTTCCATGGTTAGTTTTACTATGTCCAAATTTAAGTTGTTCACGGATAATTTGCAAACACCAGACTATAAGGGGTTCACATATGTCCCATTCATTATTTTTTTTAAAACTGGATTTCAGCGTCTCTAGTAGTTATTGTGTCCATTAGTGATATGAACGTCTACTATTAGCAGTATTGTATCTCAGTGCTTTAACCGCCTTGTGAGTTTTTGGTAGGCGTTTTATGATGAAGGGAAAAGACATAGTTCATCCATCTAACATGGAGTTGTTAATCAGTTGTTTCTTTTTTGTTTAGTTAGTTTCTCAAATCTTCTGCATTTGACTTTCCCGTATCTATTTCCTCGTAGATGTGTGCATTTTGAAAAATCAGACTACTTTAAACAGCATATTCTCTCAGTCCTCCGTGTTCACAAGCATCTTTTAATATCTTTGTGGTTGTATAACTAGATTTTCTCTTGTGGATGTTCTGCCATCACAATTAACAATTGTTGTTTACCAAGTCTAGATGATTATTTTCTTTTATCATTATTAAATGTTATTAAATATTACCGCGGGAATTACACTTCTGTTTCAAAGCTCTTTTTTTAAATAGTATTTTCTAAAACTTTCACGCCTACCTACTCTTATTGTTGTTTATAACAAGTTGCATCTACTGTTGTAAGCTTAAAGAAAGCTTTTGGTTATGCACTGCAAAAAAATAAGAATGGTATATATTAGTGTTGTGTATTTCTTATCTTGCATCCAGATATTTTCTGGATTGTTTTGTTTTCATGATCACTGTTCTGTTGAACTGCATTCTGCTTCTTTGCATATATTCATAGTATATCATATAAGGTTGTGAGGATCACCAGTTGAAAATTATCTTCGATTGAGTAATCTGAGTTGCTTAAGTTATTTTACTAAGGTTTCTTTTATGGATGCTGTTATGTACATTATTCATTAATTTACTCAGTTTAAATTTATGGTGGGTGCGTCGGTGGCACAGCGGCAGAATGCTCGCCAACCACGCCTCACGTGGTCCGAGGTTAGATCCCCGGCCGACGCACTCCTTTACCTCTCTCTCTAAGACTGGTAAAGAGGGAAGGTTAGGCATGGGGCTAGCAACCCCATCCCGTAAAAATAAATACCACTGCTACAGAAACTTCAAGCCTCTATCATGAAGCCCAATGTCCCACTAGGAAGGTGCAGGATATTGATATTTCTTTTTGTTCTCCTTAGATGTTTTGGAATGTGATCAAAATGAATATTTGTACAACGAAAATGAAAAAAGAAATACGTGTATGTATTACATATTCGGATATTCAGCAACAGATTTTCATGTCTTCCAGTCGCACGGACATTTTTTGACATTAAATTATCCTACATAGTAGAAGTCCCTTTCCTAACTGACTAAACTTGTTATAATCTAGTGCTAATCTTCAAATGAAGGAATTAACTCCTTCCTTATGGTGTTATTCCAATGTTCACCATCATTATCCTGCAATTTTCAAAGGCAAAACACACATCATATTTTCCTTTAGTTATTGATTTCCTCCAAATCTATTGGCGCATAGATTGTGATGTAATTCGCTGATACACTTTGTTTCAGTGTGTGTATCTACGTTAGGTGTTATTCTTTCTTTTTCTGTTATTTTTGTAGCTTCTGAAACGCTAATTGGGTGTACAGTTGAAAGATCTGGCATGTAAGTTCTTAAAGTCGTATTTAATAACTTTATTTGGTCACTTTGATGTCGAACTACTACTCCTTTTCTGTTGTATAACACTAGCATAATTTCATTATTCAATGTATCGCTTATTTGTGTATACAACAAATTATGAAGAAAAAAAATTAAATCAGTTTGCATTCAATGAAGATTTTCATTTTTAATATCAATATTTATTTCCATATAATAATTGAAAGTAATTATTATAATTTGTTGGTCGATACATAGTATATATGGCGAACAGACATTTATTTTAGACTAATTACAGATTGACATGAAGAATGATGGAAAAAATAATAATTGTTCTTCCGATGATTATGAACAATTATTGTATAGGCTATTCTGTGTAGATTTGTGTATTAACTTTGTAAAAATATGTGATTGCTGTCCACTAAAAAGAAGCGCAGAATGAAAATACAGGCTAGCATGATGATGATTATATATATATATATATTATATATATATATATATATATATATGATAACTATGGTCTGGATATTCATATCGTTATGTATAAATGTACATTTGTCGTGTGAGAAAGTTTCCGTTGATAGGGTTGACTGGGGAAAAAAGTATTTTAAGGGTGGTGGTAGTTGAGTTCAGCCAGTCAGCATTTTAATTTTCACCATGCCTCTAACTCATATCATCTAGTGTTATCCTTCGCTCTTTTCACGGTCATAAATACATATTGTGACAATTCGTAGGATTCTAAAACATAAGGATTATTATCTATGCAAGTAATATTTATTTGTGACATATTGGACTATTTGCTCATTAATTGTATGAAGGAGTAATTATAACAACTGGTTGGTGGGCAGCGATATTAGTTTTCTGTTTAGGTTGTAAAGACACTGTGATTGAGGTTTTTCAAAACCAGTTAGTGTTCAAAATCCTTACACAGTAAACCTATAGCTAATGAAATCTAAAGGCTTTTATTCTTAAACTGGGTCTGTCTGTCTGTCTGGATTCAACATAGAACTTGGCACCGAAGTGCAGCAGTTCGAGTTGCCACGTTCCAAATAGCACACAAACGTAGACAGGAAAATGAGAGAAGAGAATCAATAGAATTTAGATAAGTATAAGAGTGAAACAGAATGAGTAACGGTAGAAAGGAATATGAAAGATTACAGAGACTGAATACATCTGCGTAAGCCATTGACAACGATTTTGAGCCATGTCACCTATTGTCTCCAGCCATTGATTCTTAGAATCCCGAGGGCCCCAACCCGGAAGTCTGCATCTCCCTACCTGACTCAGTTTAACTGTCAGGGATTTCATGGATTGATGCCATGTTTTTGTTTGGCCACCACTTACTCTTTTCCAATCTGCACCTATATCAGCTAGTAATGCCCGTCGGGGGAGACGATGGTTAGGCATGCGCAGCACGTGACCTAGCCATCTCAATCTATGTAACTTTATAGCCTCTTCGATTGATTTTCCCTCTTTGCCCAACACTCTACGCCTAACGTCAACATTACTTACCTTATTATACCACCTAACGTGAGAAAGAGATAGTAAACATCTGTGGTCAAAAACAGTCAACGCTTTCATGTCTTCAACTCGTATTGGCCATGCTTCAGAGCCATAGAGAAGGACGGAGCGAACTGCTGAGCAGTACACACGTCCCTTGGTTGATAGTCGGATGTCACGCCTACGCCAGAGATGGTGTAATTTAGCGAAAGCAGCTCGAGCTTTTTGGATCCGTTCTGAGATTTCGTCGCTAATCAATCCGTTGGTACTGATACAACTTCCCAAATAGGTGGAGTGGTCAATATGTTCTATCACTTCACTCCCTATCACTAAGCTAGGAGTTGACGTAGTCCAGTCATTCCTGTAGCAGCATGTTACATTTTACGGGGGCGAATCGCATGCCAAAGATACGAAGATTGCTGCTCAAGGTGTTCAGAAGACTCTGCATTTTGTCAGCATCCTCCCCTAACAGGACTATATCGTCTGCATATTCTAAGTTCATAAGACTATTCCCTGGTAACAAGTCGTTAAGTTCAGTTAAGGATACTTCCATTAGCATACCTATGATGAAGTTAAATAGGAATGGGGAAAGTGGACATCCCTGACGGACACCACTGGTTGTTATCATTAAACTGGGTTAAGACATATAAGCTGATATTATTGTTTTCAGTTCAGTGTTCCCATGTTTTGTACATGAGTGTGTAGACAATATAATTGAAAACACCATTGTTTACGTGGATTATACAGACGCTGTCACCTAATTATATGGAAACTGATTTTATCTTTTCATCTCTGTGTACACGTCCATTTCATGTTTTCCTTACAGTTATTATTATTATTTTTTCTTTCTGTAGTCATGAAAAACGTTTTATAGTCAGTTGTGGTCAACAATTGGTTCTCGTAGAGCCAGATTCAAAACAACTCGGTTGGGGTGTAATTACATTCATTGGACCACTACAAGTAAATGAGTAATTTTGAAAAAAATGTTTTCAGTCTTCTTACTTATTGCTGAATAATTACACACAAAGGTGGTGGTCTGTTTTCAGTGTAATTGTTTGAATGATTGCTATTGTAGCTGAAACGTGTTATTCCCCCCCACCCCCCGTTTTAAATGTCTTCTGGTGTGTTGATTCTCTTGGTAGCATTTTCAAATAATCAACTATAAAACCATCTTTCCTTGTTTAAAGAAAAAAGTTTTAAAATGCCACGCACAACTATTTTTTGTACATTACAAAGCTTTTTTTCCCACAAAATACCAGCAACATCAGGTTTATCAGGTGTTTTCGTAATGAGTGACAGAAAAATTCTCCCGCATGGTGGTAAATGAGACCTGCAGGGAAGAAAGTTGAGTCTAACTCAGTCTCAAGCTAAATTCACTGTTTTTTCTGTTTCGTTATTATTTCCGTCGCTTTATAGTAATAAAGCGTAGATCTGCTGAACAATAGTATGGTTATCCGATGATATTTTTTTTAATGTGGTCACAATTTCACATGAAATAGTCGCATGGATGATCTGATCGATGCGATAAGTTTATTACTGTTTTCAGAATTTTCACGGTTTTGCATATTACTATTCTGACTGAAGCCAACAGTTAAAGTATCTGAGAAATATATTGATCTTACCAACCAGCTATAAAACATTACTTTAATTTAGTATTAAGTGATTTTTTATGTTTAATAATTTTTGCAGTAGTTTCCAGTTTCCATATGAGTGCACATTGACTCAGTTTTAACGTAGAATTTAGTATAAAAGTACGACGGTTCAAGTTGCCACACTTCATGTAGCACATATTGATTGATTGTTTTGAAGGTTTGATTAGTTTTGGCTGTATATCCTGTACCAATCAGGTGCTTTGCGATTTCACTTTCAAATAATTTCTTACCTTTCATACGAAGATTGTTGGGAATATGCTCAGAACATTTAGTAGATGTCCTCCTCTCAGTCCTTTCTGTATACTTCGTACCACAATTGTATGTGAGTTGGTAAATGTGATTGCAGATTATACGAGCAGGATATTTATCTATTATTTTGACTCTACTAATGAACAACAACAATCTGGAGGCGGGAAGTGTGCTTGCCAATGCACCTTTGATTCTTGTTCTTATTCTCCTCCCCTCTAAGGTCAAGGCAAATAAAAACATATAATAAGCTGACATCAGTTAGAGAATCATTGGAAAACCTGGGAGTCCTGGACGACTATTTCATCCTAGTTCGTGACTCTTCATCAGTACGCACCCACCGCCAGGGTTTGAACCCAGGTTCTTCTGGTTACAAAGCTAATGGGCTCGTAGACCATTAAGCCAGAAGCCCGATCCAATGACTAGCCTATGAATTCTAACTTCTACCAATTTACGACGTAGCGTGACCACTTCGCAATGTCCTCTTCGATGAGTTACTGCCTCTCCTTCAACCTACTGTAACCTACCAATCAAACGCAATGTCTACGAAACCAAAACTTGAAAAAAAATGTCATTTTTTAGGTTGCTAGTAGATGAAGAAAAGCTGTCAAACAAGAAAGGAGCCCTTTACATCCTGCTAATATGTTCGTTTTCTTCAAAAACTAAACGCGAAAGAATTTAAGCAGAGGAAGAAAAAGGGAAATAACAACTGGATAAATTCATTTTATGCTGTAGCTCTCCATCAAGTTACTGTGAAGTAGCTTGGTGATAATAGTAAATATTCAGCCCAACAAATAGATGATACATTCTAATTTTTAAGATTTCAAAACTGATATATGTATATATATTATTTAGTGGTTTGATAGGTAATGATCAAACACATATATCCCGGACATCGTCAGCTAAAAGGATCCAGGATTTTCTGGAAATCACCTGTGTTTCATGTGATGAAGCATTGTAAACTAGAACTCTCCCTACGAGACTAATATTGTATGGCTCTTTGAACGATCACTTTTTAACTCTTACGAAATTCACTCATTAAGCAGAACTCCAATGATTGCTAATGCAAGGAAATCAGTCGAATAATTGCGGTTTTAGCGTTAAATCGGACACCAACTTTGAAAAAATCGATTACCATAGAGTCATTGAGTGAGCACAACTGTAATGATACATAACAAATAGTAATAACAGTTATGGTCGTGAAACAAAGAATTTTCAATGTTTTATTCAGCTATCTGCACTACTACTACTACGAAGTCAGTTAAATTTAGTGAATAGATGCGTTGGTTTGTTGTTTCGTTGCCCATGGTGATCTTTAAAAATAATTCACAAATTGTACTTTTGTTTTACTATAATTTACAAGTGCTTTGTAAATATGTTGACATAAACGTGTAATAATTCAAGTTGTATGAATAGTGATAGTGCGTGTGTTATTCATTATTCTGCTGATCTGCTGTTTTGATATCTAAGCCATTGTCATTCAGCATTAAGATTGTTTATTTATTTTGAAGAACTGTCAACATAATGGGAACAATGAATCGTTGTTCAGTGTTAACTGAGAAATGGTCGGTTGTATAGCCAAGAATTCATGGAAGATATGTAGCGTTAGACATTGAAATGTAATTTGAAGTATACACTATGCCTATTATGAAACTTACTGTATTGACACTCTGTTCTATAATATGTAGTCTCAGTGTAGGATGAAGCAAGGATTTTACTTATTCTTATCCTAGTATTATCTGAGATTGATCCGTGATGAAAAGTACTTTAAGATCAGTTTAATCCTGACAAATCAATCAGTCAATCGTATTATCTTTACGTGATTGTGATTTTAACACAGCCACATATGTAGGACTTATGTGTATTAAATATTTCCTATTTCTCAGTATTAATTTCAGTTTTAATGAGTGAAATTAAAATGATCAGGATGCTCGATTCCTTCGTCATCGTAGCCTCATATTTACGATTAATTTTTTTGTTAACCTAAGGGAAAATAATTTTGATTGCATGGAGGATTTCATCATGAGCTGACATCAGTTAGAGAACCACTGGGAAAACTCGAGTGTATACTGATGAAGAGTCCCAAACTAGGACGAAACAGCTGTCCAGTACTCCCAGTGGTTCTCTAACTGATGTCAGTTCATGATGAAATCCTGCATGCAATCAAACAAAAATCCCTACAAAACCAATACTTGATAAATAATTTTGAATTGAAATGCTTTAATAGTTTTTCATGCTGATGAATACACTACCAATCGAACCCTATGTTCGACTACTAAATTTCATTATGAGTAAGCTACTCAGAATAACCTTTAGCGTCTGCAAAGATATCTGTTTTCCGCTAAACATTACATCACGACTAGTACTGTATAACTTATTTCTCTCCTGACGTTTTCTTTTCTTTTTACTTATATTGAATGAATATGTGTACAAAAGATGACCTCCACAACTTACCGGTTGTTTTGTTTTAAAGTTGTAGATTAATTTATTGATATTGTTCTTGTTTCCTATGGTAACCTCTTTCCGGTTTTTAACTTTTTCTTATCTAGTTAAATGCATTTACATGATAATATGTAAACTGAAGTAAAATAATTCGGAAAATTGTCTTGACGGTTTCTATTCGAACTAACCCTTAACGATTATTTTAAATTTTATTTTTAATACGTTGTTTGCACCTAATTGTTTGAGGGAATTCCATGGACTAAGTTTTCTCGGTGATGTCACCAATCCTAGTGGGATTCATCATTTCGGTAAACTTTGATCGACTGCATGTTGTTGTTATTGTTGAGGCCAATTTGTCGAGAAGTTCAGTTTCTGCAGGATCCCATTTTTTCTATAGCGATAAGTTCTAAGAACCATGATATCCAAGTTCAGTGCTTCAAACTTATTTTTTTGCTACAGAACGTCAAAATGCTCATATATATTTATTGATTGGCTTAATGCGGATCACAAATATCCAATACTGATTTCCTCCTATTTGACTGGCTGAGCTAAGTCTTGTAATTCCATTATGGGTAAATTTTGTTTTGATAAAGTCTCACAGTGTCATACAGTAATGTTTACTGATGACGTTTCGAGCACAATTTATTGCTCATAATCACATCAAGGTGAGATGATTATCACTCTACCACAGTGCGCAAGTTTTATTCTTATATCAATGAGCTAAGTCTTGATTAAGATAACTGATTAAAATATTGGTTAAATCACTACTTCGTATTATTCTTCACCGCATTTTTCTCTCTACAAGACTGGTTCCGATTAGCTTAGTTTTTAACTTTTTACTTGATCGAATTTATTTGATTTTCCAGTTTACCTTGTGATTCTTATAGGATTTGGAGTCCCACTGTGATCAAGCTGACAGTCGCTGTCTTCACGTGACTATTCATGCTCCTGGACACCTCATGTCTCAAGATTCCAGTCCTGGACAATTACGTCGCAATAGTAAACCTCCGATTTTAGTTGCCAGGTTTCTTTTTGAAGATCATATACGCTGTATGACTGCCAGACAACTATTATCTCGTGGCAAAACGCTTGTTGAACAGGCGAAACTACGAAAAATCGCATCGTGAGTCATATCTCTTAATGATGGTTGTTTGTTTGTTTATTTGTTTTCGCTTTAGCGGATATTTCATTCTTTAAATAGAGATTTATTATTATGTAATGAAAAAGCTTTACTGAATAATATAATAAGAATAATTTCGTTTATTAAATTTAAAACCATATTTACAAGCGGAAATACGTGTACACTGTCACCAGTGTTGCTAATGATTAAGGCATTTAAATCTCACTACAAAACTGGAATGAACAAAAAGAAAGTTTCCATTCAAATAAATGTTTGATGAAATGGTCTTATCACATGATAAAATGGGATTTAGTGGATCATATAAAATTTTGATGCTAGCTAAATAATAAAGAATGCCTAATTATTTTGCGCACGGTTTTCAAACGTTCACGTTATTAAGAGATATGTGGCAGTGTAAAAAATGACAAACACTAAAAAGAAAAGCTTCAAAGCTGTAAAATTTGCAAAAATTATTGGTGTATTACAAATAAAACACACACACACACACACAAACCAAAGACTGTGTTATCCAATCCGGCTTGTGAAAAGCCTGACAAATTCACAGTTGGGGCATTTGACTAACTTGGTGACGAAATTCATTCTGATTCTCAGTGGCTGTCTGACTGACTGAGTTCCGACATAGAACTTAGCACAGAAGTGTAGAAGTTCAAGTTGTCACACTCCATGTAGCGTACACAAATATAGACAAAAACAGACAGAGAGATGGAAAAAAAGCATTCAAACGTACCATAATAAGCAGAAATGTGAGGGTGAAAGAATAACGAAAGGGAAAAGAACCATTAGGGTTTAATGGATATGAGGATATATTGACTTCTTAAAATGATAAATTTCCAAGATAATTAAAGATTGATTAAGAGTTGTTTTTTCTTCAAAAGGAGTTGTATTTTATTGTTCTATATGTAATAACTGATCAAATTTCCTGTTTCTGTTTCTCCTTTAAATTGTCTACAGTTTATTGGATTTTCCGCCTCAGTTTATACGGGAGAAATTCTTGATTAGTAATACAACTGCTGGTGGGAGTAGTGGTGGTAACAAAAATTTGGTTACCGGTGGTCGTCTAGATTCTTCAAATGCATGTGTAAATAATTCACTCAGTAGTAGGCGTATTGGTTCTGGAACAATGTCCGGACAGTCGCCTGGACAAACGCAACATCATGTTAATAAAGAAGGCAGTGATAATAACAATAACAGTAGTGGTAGTGTACGCTCAGGTATGATAATTTGAACACTAATTATTATTATTAAGTTCTAATTTGCACACTTCTTTTTCTAACAAATCGAATTATTTGCGTAGTTTTGCGTTTTAGACTAAATCGGTTCGAGTAAATTGTTCATTAACTTCAACCAACTAATTACTCGCACAAGTCATCAGTGGGTGGTATCTGATTCCCCCATTCATAGTCATAAGATGATGACCTTCTTGGTGTATTTGTGTTCTCTGAGCTGGATGCTTTATTTGCAAAGCTCTCATTGCCCTACTAGGCAACATCTTCAGCGCATACTTGAATTTGAAGTCAGCTTTTAGATTTCGCCACGAGTTTATCAGTTATCTCTCTTGGTGACCTTGAACGTAATTGATTGTTCTTGTGTTCTCACACCCTCTAGGCTACTTGTATTGGAACTGATTGTTTCCTCGACCTGAAGTTTGACCCTTTCTGTATGAGATTTCCTTCCTATCGATTGGTAAATTTTGTCTATCTTGATGTGTTTATTGATTGATGATTCACTGGAATACCAGGCTTATAAAAATTCTCTAGCATTCTTGGTGTTTCCTCTGTCTTATATTTGAACGTTGTCCCAGTCGAATTGATGTCTATGGTTGTCTGTATGTAGTGAGGCGGTATGAGGGAGTGAATGTCATGTTTCTTGATGGCTAGCTTTTGATCATGGATACGAAAACTAAGGGGACATCCACTTTGACCAATATTGTGTTTCCGCAGTTGTTACAGTTTATTTTGTAGATAATATTGGTTTTATCTTTCGTTGTTGAGTCTTTTGGTTGACATAAAACTGAGTGAAGTAATTTTGTTGGTTTGTGCGCGATGTCAATTCCTAAAGGTTTGAAGAGTCTTGCAGTGATTTCTGAGATGTCGTCTTTTATATATGGTAGGGTAACTTTCTTTGTGTTTTCCTTGGGGTCCTTTGATTTGATGAGTCAGCTTGGGGGTAGATGTCTTTTGATGATATCCCGTGGATATCCATTCTATTGGAAGACGTCCAGGAGACACTTTTCTTAAATTTTTCTTAAGGTAGGAGTGCTGCAATGAGTTTTGACCGGCTCTCTTGAATGATGTTTATACACAACTGTTTTTGTGTGTTATTGGATTGTTGTTGTTGTTGTAAACTGAGTATTTAGTTTGTGTGAGTTGATTTTCTATAAACTTGAGTTTCTAAATTTCCTGTGGTTGTTCGGTTAATCATATAATTACCGAAGTAAATCACAGTGACTCTAATTATTCTTGTCGTGCTCATTATATTTGGATTATCTTGCATATATTTACGATGATTTTACTTTGCTCACTTATAACACTTTCTAGATATACTTGTGACCATTGTGTAAAGATTTTTGGTTCATTTACACCATCAAACTTTACGATCATTAATTTCTTGTGGCTTAAGCTTTTTCTCTTTTATAAGTGGAAAAGTCTCACTTGATCACTTATATGAGCGTGACAATTGTAAACATTTGCATGCCTTTTCTCCAAAACTAATTTATTTCAGTAAATATGCAAAGTATTCCTGTTTTTTTTTTCTTTGTCTTTTGAAAACAACATCTACTTTAAGATAATCAGTAATATAAAGGTATAGGAAATATTATAGTAAGTATTTGGAAGATGTAGCTAGTATTTATGGTCAGAAATTCAATAAGAAATTTGGTTGTATAGGATGGAAGTGACTACCACCCTGTTTTGTCTTCCTGTTGTTTTTAGAAGGTTTTGTTTTGTTTTTACTCTGATTTGGTAGTTTCTATCAGCTATAAAAAACAAAATTTTATTTTTACGACTTTGACCACGAATTGATATCAGCTAGAGAACCATTGAAAACCAGCCGGGAGTACTGGACAGTTGTTCCATCCTAGTTTTGGAATCATCGGCAGTATGCACCCACCCTCCAGGGGTTTTGAACCCAGGACCTTCCGGCTACAAGGCAAGCTCGTATACAATCCAGCCACTGGGACCCCAATTCAATGGCTCATGAATTCTAACTTCTACTAATTAGTAATTTAGTGCGACCATCAACCAATGTCATTGGTTGGAAATCCATCCTCACTCTTGACTAGTTGGACCTCACTGGTCACAACTTCTCACTAGAACTCCAGGAAACTTTGTCCCAAACTAGGATGAAACAGCTGTCCAGTACTCCCGGCTGGTTTTCAATGGTTCTCTAACTGATATTAATCCGTGGTCAACTCGTAGAAAACAAATCTAATCCTTACAAACCAACTCTTGAAAACAAAATTTTATGCAAATTATTTTTTTAGTCGTTCTCTTTCATTAACTTCTAAACTGGTGGTCATATAAACGAATTGGAAAAACTGCAAACTTGAATATGATATTTGCATTGAATAAATAATTGAATGTGCGTCGCTGGCATAGCGGCTAGGACGCTCGCCGAATATGCACATGGTCCGGGGTTCGATCCCCCGCCGACGCACTCCTTTACCTCACTGAGCCAGAAATAATTCTGGTAAAGAGGAAAGGTTGAACATGAGGCTAGCAACCCCATCCTGTAAAATAAACACTGCTACAGAAACTTCAAGCCAACTAGCTTGGAGCCCTATATTCCACTGGGGAACGTGAAGGAAAAAAAAATAATAATAATTGAATGCGTGAGATTTAATATAGTTTCTTCTGTGGCAACGCTTAATTCAGAAGATTTGAAACATTGTTTGTAGCTTTTTTATTACGAGAATTTAGATGAATTCCCTGATAATTTGTTTATCGGATATCTCACACATTAGTATTAAGACAGCATTATTTACTGGAAGACATTGTGAACACCAATTTAATGTCCATGATCACATAAATGAAGTTGATATGATTATGAATTGCATACTACCGTATTGTCCAAGTTTTACACACATATCAGTTAGAATTGAGATGAAATTTTAAAGTGGGAACGATGACGGTGTCTCATGATTGCCTAGTCAACCTCTTCTTCGCTAAGTAAATAATGCTTATTCCGTTCACATTTTCATACTATACTAGTTCTATAATTTGAGGTCCCTTTCATTAATAATAAACCTACGGAATTGAAACTATCGAGATACTCAGAATGTATACTGGTAATAACAGGTCTGCTTTTAAGCACTTCACGCTTTAAGAAGCCGCAGAGATATTACGAGTTAATGACTGATCTGTAACTGCTAAGACAATTTGTATTCGATGAAATCACATCACAGTCCTGACATGAAGTAGGAAATTGCCTAGTAAAATTACCCTTTCTACGGAATAATATGCATGGAAACTCGAAAAAACACTTATTTGTGTGATAATCGAAGTAGATCATTATTAACTTAGCTTACAGCTGGCTGCATAAATCTACACATATCTGTGTATCTTTCATTCTTTTTGTTGACGAATTCATTCGTTTTATGCATTTAAAAAAATGGTTTTTCCTCTTGATGATGGCATGGAATGCATAATATCCTTACACACTGAAAAACCATCACCACAATCCCAATAGAAAGCACTCCTGTCTTTTCAAGTGTTGGTTTGCAGGGATGTGATTGATTGGTTACAGGATTTCATCGTGAACTGACATTGGTTAGAGAACCAAAACTTAAATATCAATCTGATGCTCACTAGTGACTGGTCATATTCAGTTAGATAGTTACCTGGGTTATAGCGAGAATTTCGTGACCAGTGCGGTACAGCAGGTCGGTTGTGAGGATAAATATTGGCCGATGATATTGGCTAGTGGTCACGCTATATCGTGAATTCGCAGAAGTTGGATTTCATGGGCCATCGGATCGAATCACAGTGTCTTAATGGTCTATGAGCTCCTCTTGTAACCGGAAGGTTCCTGGGTTGGAACCCTGTTGGATGCCTACTGATGAAGAGTCCCAAAGTAGGACGAAACGACTGGCAGGTTTTCCAATGGTTCTATAGCCGATGTCAGCTCATAAAAACATCCTGTAAGTCTTATATTTTACCGATTGGATCAATTATCATAAAACGTGTTGCGAAATGCATTATTATTTGCCTAGGTAAATATAGGAATTATGTAGATTGTTTTCACTAGCTACTTTATTCAGCTACTTATTTTGCTTCTAAAAGTTTTGTAGCATGGTGTGTTAACGATCTGATATACTACTAAACAGCTGACGAATGATTGGTTACGTACATGCTTACTGTAAACACTTATCACTGTCTATCAGAAATGCAAATTTGTGTGCATATAGGTGTTCATAATTTTAATTAAAACTGTTTGGCTTATTTCACTATAGATAAGATTTTATTTTGACAAATCACTCAGTGTTATATAGTTTCGAGCACAAACTATTGCTCGAAACGTCATCAGTTAATATTACTGTATAACACTCTGTGATTTGTCAAAATAAAATTTTATCCATAATGGAGTTTTACTCTACCACAGTGCCCAAGTTTTATGCTTATGTTTGCTTTATTATTTTCCCTTCAACAAAGGTGATTTTCTAATGGATTTCCGAGGTCATGGAAACGCTTTTCGTCGATTTCGTGATAGGAATGGGATTGATGGGCCAGTACCGCTAGTTTGTCTAGCTGGTTCAAACAACTCAGTAACAATGACACCGATGACACCATCATCGATAACTACTACCATTACTTCAACTGAATCTGTTATTAAACCTAATCCATTATCTGATTTTACATCATCTACTACTGGCGGATTGAATCAAGAGGTTTCTCAGTCTACGACAGCGCCTAATTCTTTGCACAAAACAAGTGATGCAGGAAATAAAGACAGGATTATACTTATATCTAGACGTCTATCGAATTCGAGTTCGAAATTTGTATTAGATGATGTGAAAGGTGATCAAGACGCATTTATTACTAGCGATAATAATAATAATAATACTCAAACTGATCTACCAAGAGAAAACGAAAGTGAGATTAATAAACCAACAGAGTCCAGCCCTTCATCTCAAAAATCTAACCGTCGAGGTTACTCAAGTGATGCTTTAGATGAATAGATAAAAAGAATTGTTTGCATCTTTCTGTATTTTTTTCTGATTTCTATACGATATATATAATATATATATACCTTCTGGATTAAAAGGGATTTCGGTTACGGGAGGGTTGGGGGGGGGTTGCTTGACATAATGCATATATGTATGTACATGTAACCATAGAAACTTCTCCTCTTATTTTGTAGACTATTTATATCTTTCAGGTTTACATGTCTTTCAGAATTCATCTTTGTTTTTAATAACCTTTTTTTTTACCTGTAAGATAGTGATGCTACTGACTCCGGCATAATCAAATATTTTTGTTGTTTACTACTCAATTATCAGTCATTTTTCATAGTGGACATATTTGAATACTTATTGTAAAAAACATTTCTCTTTTGTGCTGTAACAGCCGCCTTTCAACTCATTATCTCCTCTCTTTCTACCTACTGTAGCGACGAAACATGTTACATCTTAGATTAGCTATGGATATGATTACAATATTTTTTTTGAAATCATAACTTCTGACATTGTAATTCGTCAAGTATCATCAGAATGATAATTTGTTAAAAATTTTAAATTAGTTCGTTTTTTGGTGCTTTTTTTTAAAAACAGGAAGAACTTTTCCTCATGATGTGATGTATTTGTAAGCTTATGAGCCCAAATTGTTATCCGAGAAAGCATCCTTATCATTTTCAAATATTTAATATTTAATAGTCGATAAAATAGTTGTTGTGTTGTTTCTTATTACAGTTATGCCTGTTTCATATTTGGTATTTATTATAATGTGACGATTTCACCTGGAATCAAATAGCTACAAACTTTCCACACTGTATAGATTTGCCTCTTTTTCACACTGATCAGTTGAACTGCGTTGAATCTAATTTTTTTGTTCGATGTCTATTCACCCTACACAAGGTTATTTGAAGGATAGTGATACTGAAACTGCGTAGGGTAAGTTCAGAGGTCGAAATCCATGCCATTGACTACAGCTTGAACACCTCAGCCTTTTATATCCGTGCTGAGATTTGGTCAACAAACAGTCCATTGAAACTGATACAGCTTCCCAAATAATTGAATTTGTCAACACGCTCAACCACTTCACTGCCTGTCTTTAAGCTAGGAGTCGGTGTAGTCCAGTCCTATAGCGTCATCTCACATCTGACAAGTTGTAATCGTATACCAAACATTCGAAGATTTCTGTGTAAGGTGTTTAAAAAAGTTTTGCATTTTGTCAGCTTCTTCACCAAGGAGGATAGTATCATCCGCATACTCTAGATCTATAAGACTGTTCCGTAGTAAAAAGCTAATCTTCATGTCGCTAAAGTCAGTTGGGGTCATTTTCACAATACATCTATGATGAAAATAAGCGAGAATGGGGACAGTGGGAATCCCTGACGGACACTACTGGTTGTTATCACTTCTGATAACAACTCTCTGTAAGCTCCTACTTGGCTGCCTAAGTTCGAGTAAAGTGCCTTGATTAGTGCGATATATTTTCACAGCCGACAATCGCTACAGCCCTTCTCGGTCGGCGGAATCAAATGCCGCGTTTAGATCGAGAAATACGGCAATTGTTGAACGCCAGTAAGCATAGTTATCTTCCAGAATCTGTAAGAGGGTTAAGATACGATCAATGTAACCTTCTGCCTGGTTTTCTCGGGTTTGTCTTTCCTATACATCACTTAGTTTATGCGTGATTATTGAACCTAGAGCTTTAGATACTATAATAATCAAGCTTATTCCCTCATGGCTACCACAAGAAGACCTGTCTCCCTTATAAACAGCGATAATCACTTATTTACGCTAGTCCAATGTGACTTTCTTTGATTATCAGACATCAGCTTGTATCTTGGAGCCCTCGGGACTCTAAGAATCAATGGCTGTAGACAATAGGTGACATGGCTCAAAATCGTTGTCA